GTCAAGGGTAAGAGAGGACAAAGTTCACTCTGTTTTCTTTTTTTATTTTTTTTGAGATAGGGTCTCACTATGAAGCCCTAGCTGGTCTCAAACTAGCAATTCTCCAGTAGCTGCCTCTGAGTGCTGGGACTGGGACTGCAGGACTGATCCACCACACCTGGCCCTAGTTCACAGATTTCCACCCAACATTCACAGAATGCCAACTCTGGGCCAGACAGTAAGGACACATGTAAACGAAGATCCTCAAGGAGCTGTCAACCCACTTCTCCACGGCCCCTGGCAATGTCACCTGCCTGTGGGTTGGTGGCTCCCTACTCTCCTGGAGTCATTCTAGAGCATAAATCTGATCGTAATGGCCTGTAGCTCCAAAGTTTTCCATGGCTCCTCAGTGCCCTTCAGGCTGGGCACCTCCCACTGAGAAACCCATGGCCTTCCTATACCACGCTTCCTTCCCCAGCTTTTATAAGGAAAAAAACAACATATACATACATATGTATATTATATATAGTACTGGGGTTTGAAGTCAGGCTCTCATGCTTGCTAGGCAAATTTGAACTACATCCCAGCCCTCTGAGCTCCTCGGTTCCCTCCAGCCCCTTACCGGGATCACCCTTGCCTTCCCTTTCCCCTGGCTTCCCTATGTTCCCACTTGCAGAAAGCTGTCTGGAACCTCCAGGCAGAACAGGGTGCCTCTTAACTCCAGCACTGACCACTGGGATGTGTTCTCACTGGACTGTGAGAGCTGCTTGAGGGTAGGGTTGGGACAGGTTGTCCCAGTCACTGTGGGGTCCCAGTTCAGCCCAGCGAATGCAGAGCATTTACCCGGTACCGGGGAAGGAGCTTGCAGAGGCACCTGTCCCACCTCCCACCACAGCACTGAAGGAGGAGAAGGATACATGTGCCTGGTCAATCATACACTTGCACAGGGTGAAGTCGGTGTGGGGCAGGTTGGTGAGGGCCTTCAGCAGGATCTGGGCAGTGACCGTGGTCTGAAAGAAGGCTGGGTTGAACTGGTACCTGAGAAAGGGAACAAGAGACGTGACAATGTGGTAACTCCAGGTCCCCAGGACTCGCCATTTTCCAGGCAGGTGGCTGCTGCTTTAGTCTAGAGTTTGGGAGTTGGAAATGTTGGGTTCCAAGCCCAACCACACTTTTTGGGTGTGGAACCTCAAACTCAGAGCCCACTTTCCTGTCTAGAGATGTAGACAGTTAATCAACACAAACTGAATTGGGGAAGGGGGCAGTTATATGACCACAAACAAATGAGGACAGAAGCAGCACTGGAGTGATGATTACAACTCGGGAGCCTGAAAGCCTAAGTTCAAACTTCCCTGCTGATGGCCTCGGACTGCTCATTTCAAAGTCCCTGCTTTTAGTTCCCTCCCTTTCAAAAGAGGACAAGACTGGGGAGTGTAGATCAATGGTCCTTAGCATGAATGAGGCCCTAAATTCAATCTCCAGCCTCCTCAAAGCAAATGCAAAAAACAAAGCAAAACAAAACACATCATTTTCATGGGCAATATAGCAACTGAGAAACACATACAAAGCCTGGGGCACAAGCAGCATGTGCTTGATGTCCATGAGGCCCGGAGTTCCATACCCGGCTCCACAGAAAAACAGCAGCTTCACACAGTAAGCACTCACCAAGCTGCGCTAATCACAATAGCATTCTAAGCCACCCCTTAAGTGCAAGCATTATCTCCATTTTGCCTGCGAAAACTGAGGCTATATAACCTGCAAAAACTACCCAGCTGGTAATATGTCAAGTAAGCACCAAGTACATCCATCGATGGGACAGACCCTTAGGACAGAGTCACACAGTGGAACACTGTACAGCAATGGCAACTGCAACCACACAAAAAATGAACAGATGTCACAAAGCCAGTGCTGAGCTGTTGCTGGGTGTGAAAGCGCTTGTGCTGCATGCTTACAGCTCTGTCAGGTTCAAAGCAAACCTGAGCTAAACTCATCTGGATGCCCACATGTGGTAAAAGATCACACGAAGCCAGGCCACAAGAGTAGGATGGTGGTTACCAAGGGGAGGGGGGGGGGGAAGAACGGGGACGACAGAGCACATGGCCAAGGCCTGTGCCACTAGCAACATCTTTGTATCATGGGTGGCAACTACACGATGTTCATCTACAATTACTTGTTAAGCTAAGTATCTTATATATGTTTGATAATTAATTTTTTTTAAGTTGCCCCTCCTCCAGCTTCCTTGGCTTCCTAATCTTGCACAACAAAGAGAAGCCACATTCTGCAGGCTACCCCAGATACCTCTCCACCCGACAGTGTTGGGAGTAGCACCCTGCCAGCCAGCTGCTGGCACAGGAGTGTGAAAGGACTAGACACTCACAGTTTCAGGACAGCCAGGTTGGCTTCCAGATCGTAAGCATTCTCCTTGGCCTGTGTCTCCACATAGCGCTCCAAAGTGGACAGGTTCTCAGGATTATACCTAGAGGAGAATCAAGACAGTGAGCAGCTAGGTATGGTGATGCCCATCTGCATTCCAGCACTCAGCAAGCTGAGGCAAGAGGACCACAAATTCCAGGCCAGCCTGGGCTACACAGTCTGGAGTCTGCAGTCAGCCTGGACTGCATAGTAAGATCCTGTCTTAAAAGAAGAAAGATGCCAAGCACTAATCTCTCATGCCTATAATCCTATCTATGTGGGAGGCTGAGATCCTGAAAAATCATGGTTTGAGGCCAGCCTAAACAATAGTTCACAAAACCTCATCTCTAAAACATGAGTAAAAATGGACTGGAGGTGTTGGCTCAAACAGTAGAGCACTTGCTTTGTGAGTGCCTGCGTTGCAAGCCCAAACCCCTGCATTCAAACACCGCCCCCAAGAAAAACCCAAACACCCAGAAAGACAAGTGAGCAGAGAGGAGACAGGAGCCAAGGCCAGTCCCTTTATGTAGCTAAGGTGACACTATAGTCTGTTTTGTTGACCTTTCTTCCTTCCCTTGTAAATCTGGCCCTGGCCGGTGGCTCTACCCAAATAGTAAGTCAGCTCTATAACCTCTTATAAAATCCTCCCATAACCAAGACCTCGCTCTCTGAGATCCAGACCGAGATCTTGTCTAGGGTGCCCCCCAACCTCAGCCAGCCAGCCACGGCAGCCTGAACATACAGCTGCCTGAATATCTGGGCTGCCCACCCCTCTCAGGATCTCACACCGGTCCATACCTTGATCCCCTCCTGCCCAGGTCAATGTCTAGCTTCCCCCAGCTTGGCCCTGACTACTCTTGGCTATCACCATCTGGAACGGGAATTCAGTCCACTAGAATTTGTTGACTTGTGGCTTGTCAGTCACCTCTGGTTTGCAGCACTGCCTACTACTGACAGAGTAAATGGCACTGCACAGATGTTGGATGAAAGACGTGAGGGGCAGAGGAGGGAGAGATTAACGGAGACTAAGCAAGAGGGAAGACTGAGAAGCAGAGAGAAACCTTAAGACAATTAAAGAGGAAAATGAGTGCTTGGCTTTCTCTTGCCTCTAGGCCTTTCTAGTGCTGTTTCCTTAAACACCTCCTCCTTCACGATGACCTCCCTACCCACAGAATGACGGAGAACCACTACCCAGGCCAAGCCCAGGGCCCTGACAACCCCTTGCTGTCTTCGTAAATCCTCTTCTTCACCCCGCTTGGCCAGAACGCTGCCCCACACCGAGCTCGGACCTGTCGATACCCTTGAGCAACTTGCCCACGTTCGCTCTCATCTGCTCAAACATTGCCATGACTACGATCCCCTTCCACAACCACAGCTGAAATCGAACACGCGCCGGGAGCTCAGGCCTAGAGAACCGGAAGAGGAAGAAAGGGAAACGGAACATACGTCACGCCGCCTCGCCTACTCCGGGGAACGATGAAATGGAAGGCTCTTCCGGCAACTGCCACGCTTTCCGACCGCCACGTGATTTCTTCCCAGCGGGCGTAATTGGCGCATGCGCATTCGCTCCGCCCAAGCTGAACCAACGGCGTGAGAAAAAGCCTCTTCTGCTGCAATGCGCAGGCGCGTTCTCTTGGCTACAAGGTGGAGCTAAACTTTTCCCGGGCCTGGCGAAACCGGTCCTTGAGCCTGGGACGCGCGCGCACGCGAGCTCTCCGGGAGGGGGACAGAGCTTTAATGGCGCGCGCGTAGTGTTGCGCGCGACCGTATATGCACACAGTTGTGCGCGGATGGGCGTAGTGGCCTCGTCTTGGGGCAGTCGTGAGAGAGGGCTTCTCTAAAGTCATTCTCGCCTGTCTTGCACCCCTGAGTCATCCAGAATCCAGGATCTTGACCTTCCCAGTTTCAAGACCTGGACCCTGGTTCCCACCTTCCGTCTCAGTCCCAGAAGAAGGGGCCCATAAAGCTATTGTGCTCTGCGGGGAAGGGGAGTGATGAGCAGCTCCTGAGATCGCGCCCAGTCTCCATTAGGCTTCTGGCTGGTGGCTACGCCCCATATGTGCCGCCATGAGTTGTGCATAGGTTCTGTACACTGCGGGCGTGAATGCACAGGACGTATAATGCTCTGAGTACATCTACATGTGTACACACAAGAATGCAGGCATGTGCACCATACGTGCGCCGCAGCAACGTGTAGGAGCAAACACTAAAGTGCACGTGTGAGTCTCAGGTGAACAGGCGTATGTGCTACACAGTCATCTGCAGATGTGCAGATTCTGGGTTGTGGCTGAACTTGCAAGCACCCAGCAGCGGTTCAACTATGGTTTGAGCCCCGCCTAGAACGGGAGAGGGAGTCCCAGGCTGCAATTAAAGTCGTTTGCATCTCATTTGCATCCAGCTCTGGCTTTAGGGGTGGAGGGGGGTCCCAAGGGTCCCAAAGCAAATTGCCCCTCACAGGCTCTCTGAGCCCAGGGGACTGGAGGTGGAGCCTCTTGCACAACCCTGCAGCTGGGGCAGGAAGCGAGAGTGGGGAGGGGGAAGGCCACAGGCCACAGAAGCAAGGCAGGCGCAGGGCTTGTGGGGAGGGAGGGAGGGAGGTGCCAGTGCTGGAGCCCTGAGGCCCTGCTGGCCGCTGGGCACAGGCCCAGCTGCGGGCTCCAGGGATGGACCTCGTGGGCCCTGACATCTTTAATAGGGACCCCCGGGACCACTATGACCTGCTGCAGCGGCTGGGTGGCGGCACCTATGGGGAAGTCTTCAAGGTGAGAAAGCCCTCTTGTCTCCATCACCTCAATCCACTGATCTTTGGGGTGAGGCCTAAGAAGGGGAACGGGTGCAAGAAGACCCCAGTCCTTGACCATAGCTCAGGGATGCTGAGGGACTCAGGCAAATGGAGCCTGCTTGATGGCCAACTTCCCCTTTATAAGGCTCGGGACAAGGTGTCTGGGGACCTGGTGGCATTGAAGATGGTGAAGATGGAGCCTGGTGAGAGAGGACCCTGGAACTCCTTCCCCGCCCCCACCCCCACATCCTGGGATCTTGGGACCACCTCCCCTTAATTCCCTGCCACCAGCTACCTCTTCCCGTCCCGTCCTGGCAGATGATGATGTCTCCATCCTTCAGAAGGAAATTCTCATGCTGAAAACTTGCCGGCACACCAACATCGTGGCTTACCACGGTAGCTACCTCTGGTGAGGAGCCCCAGCCCAGCCCCCAACTCAGACCCTCCTTTCTGAACAGACACCCCACCCCTGACCTGCTCTCCAGTTCTCAGCTTCCACGTTGAACCTTGGGTCCTCACTCTTAACTGGAGCACCCCAACCTGATTCTCTAACCTGAAGCACCAGTTTTTCTGATCAGAGCACCCACTCCTAAGCCCCAATTTAGAACTCCCATTTCTGATGGAGGATCCCCCAAATTGATTCCTTCATAGTAATCAGAGCTGAAATCAACTCCCCCAAAAGTCATCATTCTGCCCTTTGGGTCCCCCACTTTCACTCTGATCTTTTAATATGAACCTCTAAATTCTCTAACCCCCACAATAATGACTTCAGTTCCCCAAACCTGGCACCCTGGACCTTTCTGTGCAATGCACATCAATGCAGCCTGTGAAATCTCCACCCTGCCCTTAGGTTAGCCTGGTACGGCAGTGGAATGCCCTCTGTTTGGGGCTCAAAGCCATACATTTGAGTTGAGATCCCCTGAACACACATTTCCTGGTTGAGCCTCAACTTCCTTCTCTGTAAAGTGGGAATGGAACAATCTCACTTTGGTGGGCCAGGGGAGATAGATGACAGTTGGTACATTGAAGTTCTTATCAAACTAGGACAAGACAGTGAACCTGTGGTTGCCCTATAAATAACTTCTCTCTGCCATTATTGGTGTTATCATTAGCACTCTTGAACCGTTGTAGGTTGCAGAAACTCTGGATCTGCATGGAATTCTGTGGGGCTGGTTCTCTCCAGGACATCTACCAAGGTTAGAGGAAGGACAAGGGCATCTGGTCCTCGCCCCCACCCCTCAAGTCAACTCTCTATTTCTCTGTGCTTGTTTCTCTGGGAACTTTCTTCCTGGTCTACAGTTTCATGCAGTGAGCTCTACCTCTGGGCCTGGCCTGGAAGATGCTGGGGAAGCCCTCCAGCCCCTGCCAGATCTGTCCTGTCTCCCCCTCCCTATCTTGGTGTAGGTGTTTGCCTCTTCTTGTTATTAGTGTGTTTTGAGTGTTGTATGTTTTCTGATTCAGACTAGGGACCCAAAAATTTGTCCAATGAATTAATGAATTTTTAATTTTCTCCCTTACCCTACCTTTCAATCTTTTGGAGAATTTGTAGGCTGGGGGTGGGGTAGGCCTCTGGTCACCTCTCTGAAGTTCTTTTTATTTATTTCTTTATTTGTCAGTGCTGGGGATCACCCAGGGCCTTAGACATGCTAGGCAAGAGCTGCACCTCCAGCCCTCTTCTCTGAATTTCCCTTTTTTTGGGGGGTGGGGGGGCTAGAGGAAGGCAGTACTGGGGTTTGAACTCAGGGCCTCACACTTGGTAAGCAGGTGCTCTACCACTTGAACCACTCCACCAGCCCTGAAATTCTGATGTTTACCTGTCTTCAGTTATCTTCCTGACTCCCTCAAGTGTGAGAAAAGGAAACATTTCATTAAGAACCCCTAGGGGACTGGGGATGAAGCTTGCCTGGCATGTGCAAGGCCCCGGATTCTAGCCATCCCCAGAACTCCCTGACAAAAACGCCACAAGGGGGGAAACTGAGGCCCACAGAGAGGAAGTGACTCACCCAGCCATTATGTCAGACCCAGTCTCTTACTACCGCTTTCTGCCTCTTTCTCTCTGCACCCCTCCATGTGTCCTTTAAAATATGGCTGTCTTCCCACAGTCATAGATATTGGTCTCTCTTTCTCAGTCTTTGCCTCTCCATCTCTGTGTCTCTGAGTTCACTCATTGTGGAGTCACCGCTGTCCCTGGTTCAGAGCCTTCCTGACAACCTCTGCTCTCCTCCAGAGAGAAGCCCTGACTCCTCCTGGCGCCCACCATGGTCCTCCTCTTTCTCTGCCCCCTCACTTTGCTCCCTCCCCCCACACCCTCCCACCTCCCACTCCTGAGCTTGATGTTCCTCCTCTCCCTCCAAGTGGGACAACTTCATCCCCCACTGTCACCTTCTTAGAGTAACCTTACTGACCACCTGGTGTAAAATGTCATAACTTCCCACACATATTTCCTGTTGTATTTGCTTGTTCTATTTTTCTTGTTACCATTTATTATCATCTGACATATGTATGTATACACGTGTGTATTTTTTTTTTTTTTGAGGATAGGGATGAACCGAGGGCCTTAGCACAAGCTAGGCAAATGCCTGACCACTGAGCTACACTTCCATCCCTCCGTGCTTTGTATTTTACTTACCTTACCATCTGTCTCCCACACTGGAATGTTCTTTCCATGAGGGCAGGGATGGGACGTATGTCTTTGGTTCACAACTGTACCTGTGCCTGGCACACAATATACATGCAATAATTATCTGCTGACTGTCTCCTTCTGGCCTGTGTCCTTGGATCACTGCCTCTCTCTGACACCCACTACTTCTCCATCTTCCCCCCCTCACTTGTCCTGTACTGGGTCCACTCCCCTTTTTGGCACTCTCTCAGCTGCTTTGGGTAGGGCCCAGGTTTCCTGGCTCCGACCCAACACCTGGCCCGGTTGGGGTGACCTTTGCAGTGACGGGTGCCTTGTCTGAGCTGCAGATTAGCTATGTCTGCCGGGAAGTTCTGCAGGTGAGGAGGGGCCTGGGGGGTCCTGGGAGTGGGCAGAGCCCTGATGTAGCCTGCAGGCATCCACAGACTGCTGTCGGCCCTTCTCTGCAGGGACTGGCCTATCTGCATTCACAGAAGAAGATACATCGTGACATCAAGGTGGGCTGGGGACACCAGTGTCACAGGGGTGAAGCCCAGGAGACAGGAGCAGCACTTGGGGGGGGGCTCAGGGCTCAGGACGGTTTGAGTTGGGGGCTGGGAGGGGGACTCTGACAGCTTCCAATCCCTCCTCTGGTACCCAGGGAGCCAACATACTCATCAATGATGCTGGGGAGGTCAGAATGGGTGAGTGTGGCTGGAGGGAGTGGGTGGGTGGGGGCATGAGGGGGGCTGAAGGGACAGAGACACTACATCTCTCCCTCTGCCTCCAGCTGACTTCGGGATCTCAGCCCAAATTGGGGCGACGCTGGCTAGGCGCCTCTCTTTCATTGGAACACCCTACTGGTGAGGGGTGCCCAGCGGGCAGCTGTGGGTGGGGTGGTGGGGGCTTTTCCCACCCTGGCTCCCTGGGAACCCCTTCCTCCATGGAAGATTCTTTTCCTCTCCTTGGCTCTCTCAAGTTTTCTGTTTTATTTGTGCTTATTTCTCTCAGTTTTTTATTTACGTGTGTGTGTGTGGTACTGGGGCTTGAACTCAGACCCTACATCTTGAGCCACTCTGCCAGCCCTTTATTGTGAAGAGTTTTTTTGAGATAGGATCTCACAAACTGTTTGCCTGGGCTGGCTTCAAACAGCGATCCTCCTGATCTCTGCCTCCTGAGTAGCTGGGATTACAGGAGTGAGCCACCAGAACCCGGCATGGGTTGGTTTTTGTCTTGTCTCTGCAATCTATCGATTTCTGTCTTTTTCTCAGCCTGTGGCTTTTCTCTCTCTTTATTTCTATCTTTCTCTGACAAAAGATCTTTTTTTTTCTGTGCTAGGAACTTCATGTATGCTACACCCCTGTCCTATTTTTTTTTTTAATTTTTCTGTGAGACAGGGTCTTGCAAGATAGCCCAGGCTGGCCTAGAACTCTCGGTCCTCCTGCCTCAGCCTCCTGAGTGCAGGGATTAGAGGCAGGCACCACTACGGTGGGCTCCCCAGCCCTGTCTATCTATCTGTCTGTCTTTTCCAGCCTGATTCTGCATTTCTGCCTTTATATCTGGCTCTCTCTGTTCCCCATCTTCCCTCACCCTGTCCCTGTGCCACCTCTGGCTCTCTGAGGGTCTCTACCTCCAGGATGGCTCCAGAAGTGGCGGCCGTGGCCCTCAAGGGGGGATACAACGAGCTGTGTGACATCTGGTCCCTGGGCATCACTGCCATCGAACTGGCCGAGCTACAGCCCCCGCTTTTTGATGTGCACCCTCTCAGGTAGGCAGGTTTGGCAGGTCCCCTTGGGCCTAGAGACGCTGTCCAGGCCTGACTCTGAAGACCACCACTCAGCCTGTGGATCCTCCATGGGCTCCCCCAGCTTGAGTCCCTGACATGAGCCATAGCTCTAAAATGTGATTTTTGGCTTCCCTTTGAAGTTGAGTCTCAGGGCTGCAGGTGGTGCACTTATAATCTTGGCTACACGGCAGGTGGAGACAGGAGGCTCTTCGTCCAATTCTGACTCTGGCAAAAAGAAGAGACTCTACCAGAAAAATAAATAATGCAAAAAGGGCTGGTAGAATGGCTCAAGTGGTAGAGGTCATGTCTAGCAAGCGTGAAGCCATGAGTTCAAACCCCAGTGCCACAAAAAAAAAAAAAAATTCACATCGATGTATCATAAAATCTGAGCCTCATTTGTGTTTATCCCTCACATTGCTCTGCCTCAGAGTTGTGGGGAACCTCTGAAGCCATGAGGCCTGGCCCCCTTGGGGGTCTGAACCCCATAGTCTTCCCCTGCTGTTCTAGAGTTCTCTTCCTCATGACAAAGAGTGGCTACCAGCCTCCCCGGCTAAAGGAAAAGGGCCGATGGTAAGCCAGGGTGACCTGAGGGGTTGGGGGAAGGGCAGGGCCTGGGCTGGAGGGTGTGATGGGAAGGTCTCTGGTCCCCTCACCCTAGAACCTGGCTTCTTCCTCCCAAGGTCGGCTGCTTTCCACAACTTTGTCAAAGTCACCCTCACTAAGAGCCCCAAGAAACGACCCAGTGCCACCAAGATGCTCAGTGTAAATCTCCCTGCCTACTTCCCCTCGAATTCCCTGGTTTTCTCAACCCAGAACCCCCGGGCCTTCCACGACTTCCTGGAGCATTGTCCTACTCCCTCAGAATTTCCCCTCCATGTTCTACCCGACACCTTCCGTGTCCCCTGAATTGCTAAAACTTGCCACTTCCCAAGAGTCTTCAGACTCATTCCCTGAGAGTCCTGTTAAGTTCCAAGGAAACTTCGATCCCTTCTAAGATGTCCTGGACTTCCACAATCCCCCTTCTGAGAACCCTGAATTCTTCTAATCCCTTAAAACTTCCTAGAATTCCCAGGTTCTAGAGTTCCCTAGGCTCCCCCACCTTCTCCCTCACCTGGCACCTGGCCCCTGGATTCCCTTAGACATGGAAGCCCCTACCCTAACTCTCCCATGCCTCCCCTCTCCCTTAGCATCAGCTGGTGTCCCAACCTGGGCTGAACAGAGGTCTGATCCTAGATCTTCTTGACAAACTGAGGAACCCCGGAAAAGGGTCCCCTGTGGGTGAGACTGAAGACGAGGAGCCTGAGGTGAGGGCCCAGGAACCTCCTGGCTTTTGTCCAGGCCGTTCTCTTGCCAGGAGTACTATCCTTCAGCCCCCAGCTGACATGGTGAGATAGCTCCTAGAACCAAACACAGGACAGGAGGAAGGGAAGCTTGGCACAGGGCTGTGTGCAGAGGATTGTGGGAGAGAGGAGGACTCAAGGCTGGGCCTAGAGGGTGGTGGGGCTGCTTAGGGGCTGCGAGCCCTGATGCAGCTGCCCCTCTGCCCAGCCACCCCCTGCCATCCCCCGGCGGATCAGATCCACCCACAAGGCCAGCTCTCTGGGGATCCCCGATGCAGATTGCTGTCGTGAGTAGAGAACCCTACAGTTTGGGAACATCTGTCCCAATAATAGATCCAAAAAGCCCCCTGCACCCACCATCAGACCACCAGAGACACTTATCCCATAAGAGACCCCAGAGAATCTCATAGCCACGTGACCTACAAAATGATCATAGGAAAAAAAAATGATCATAGAGCTCCCTCACCCCTCTGAGCTATTGGCCCCACAAGACCTCCCATCGCCACCCTGACCCCAAAGACTTCAGGAGTCTTTCAGAACCCCTGGTACCCAAGTGGTCCCAACACAAGCATGTTGTAACTACTTGGAGCCCTTCCACGCCCCTGATCCCAAACCATGACCCTGCCCCCAGTGAGACTCCTATAAACCAAGACCTGGCCCTCAGGGACAGGGCCAATCCCTGAGATCTTGACTCCAGACTCTCAATTTCTACTCTCTCTTCCTAAATCTGTCTCCCCATCCCTCTCACTGGTCATCTGTCCCCACATCCTAGGGCGGCACATGGAGTTCAGGAAGCTTAGAGGAGTGGAGTCCAGGCCCCCAGCTGACATGGTGAGATAGCTCCTTGCTCTCCCCCAGTGCCCTCCCCCTCCCTCCCCCCCACCCCCCCCCTGTGGCTCTGCTGACCCTCTCCGCATTCCGCAGGCCTGTCTACAGCCCCCAGGAGACTTCAGGAGCAGCAGTCCCAGGTCAGGGACCCCTGGGAGGAAGGGGAGGGAACCGGGGTGTGTGTTGGCTGCCTGAGGCTCATGTTTGTCACCCCTCAGGAGCCAGCCGTCAGAGTCTGATGACGACTATGATGACGTGGACATGTAAGAGGCCCAGCTCCAGCCCCACACGCCCTCACCACAGCCCCCAGTTTTTGACACCTGGAGCCCACCTTACCTCCACCTAAACACCAATGTCCCCCTACCTTCCTGCTACCTTTGGACCACGAGCCCTGACCTGACCCAATGCAGCCCCTGCTTTCCTCCTCTGATCCCCAAGCCCACCCTCTACCTTCACCTCTGACCCCCTACCTAGTCCCAACTTAAGCCTCCACCTTCACCTTTAGCCCTTGCCCTCAGCTCTAGTCCTGATCCCAACTCCTATCCAACCTGCCCTCCTTGTGCTCAGCCCCCTTCCTCCCCACCCCCATCTTCTTCAGCCCTAACCCTCCACCCCCAGCCCTCATCTCTTGACATCATCCCACCCAATCTCAGACCTTGACGCCTGGAAATTTTCCAAAGGCCAAACCTGGGGACCCAGACCCAAAGCCACATCCCAGCATTCATCCCAGGCTTAGTCCTCACTCGCTACACACCTTGTGTGCAGTGGGCTCGAGTGGTACAGGCACACATGGGTAGGGGTGGGTGTACCTGGGTCCAGGACTTCCCATTACCAGAATCACCAGGTGCTTGTGAGAGGCTGAAGGCCTGGTGCATTGGCAGCCCCAGAGCTGCTGTCAGTCCTGTTCTCCTCAGTCCAGCCAGGCCCAATCAGCCCTCCCACCTGCCTTCCCAGTCCCAGGCCACCAGCCCTGGGCACCCTATCTTCCCCATCCACCTAGTTCCCCACACCACTGCCTGCTTACCCCATCTTTGTGTTTCAGCCCCACCCCTGCAGAGGACATACCTCCTCCACTGCCCCCCAAGGTAGGGCCCTGAGGGTCTGGAGGCCAGGCCTTTTGGTTGCTGGGACATGGGGTTCCCCAGGACTGGGAGTTTTGGATGATGGGTATGGGGGCACCTGGAAGTGACCTCATGGACACTGGTCAGCTGGCCCAGCATTAAGTCTTTGGTTTGTGGGGTGTGCTGACGTCTGGGGTGGGGGGGGTGTTGGGGGAGGCTGGACTGAAGAGAGGTGTTGTGGAGAGGGTCAGAGCCATGGCTGTGGTGGAGGCAGGACCCAGAGGTGCCTTTCTCTTTCTGAGACCATCTGATGTGTTTCCCCATTTTCCTTCATGTCTCCAAAGCCCAAGTTTCGTTCTCCATCAGATGACGGACCTGGGGGGATGGGAGATGAGGGGCAGCTGAGCCCAGGGGTGCTGGTCCGGTGTGCCAGTGGGCCTCCCCCACGCACCCCCCACCTTGGGCCTCCCCCAGCTACCCGAAGTCCCCACCTCACTGCCCACTCAGGTAATAGGATGGGGTAGGGTGGAGGGTGGGCAGGAGTAAGGGGTCTTGGGGGCTGATTTTGCCCCAACCCCTCTCAGAACCCTCACTCTGGAACCCAGCTTCCCGGGAGCCTGACCAGCCCCCAGTGCTGCCCCCTAAGAAAGAAAAGATGAAGAGAAAGGTAAGGACCAGCTGCGTGCCTTGGCATGGGCCAGGGGTGCCCAGTGGGGGTAGGGAGGACTAATAAAAATGACAGGTGGCATTCACTGAGCTCTTCTTCTGTGCCAGACATTGATCTCATGTCTTTATGTGGTATAAATCTCCACAGATAGAAAGAGATATCACAGAGGTAGATATTATTCTTCATAACACAGATGGGGAAACTGAGGCACAGAGTTGTTAAATGGCTTGCCTGAGGTTGTATAGGAAGTAGTTCCCCCCAATCTATGGAGGATACACTCCAAGACCCCCCCCCCATTAAATGCCTGAAAATGGATAATACCCAAATCTGTATATTTTTCCTATGCTGTTCATGGGTAACTGAGGCCATAGAAAACAGGATCGTGCGAGAGAGCTGACTTTGAGGAGGCAGAGTCAGGACTTGAACCCTGGCACTCTTGCTCCAGATTCCTAACCACTATGCCTTCCTGTCCCCTGCTCCTTTTGGCTGGGTCTGCTGCCCCATCTGGCCGCCATGGCCCACCCAGGGATGTACCCTCCTTGTGAAGTTGTTCAACGGCTGCCCCCTCCGTATCCACAGCACGGCAGCCTGGACACACCCCTCCACCAAAGGTGAGCATTGGGTGATCCAGGAGGGCCTGGGTTGGGGAGCCAGTGCCGGGGGGAGGCCCTGATGGAAGCACAGGGGAGGGTCTCAGTGGGGTGGGAGCGGGGTGGCCCAGTGGAATCAGGGGCAGAGCCTGTGGTCACAGTTGGATTTGAGAATCCAAGAGGGGAAGAGGAAAGATGAGTTGGAGAGTGAAAAGTAGGAAAATCACGGTTTGGGGACCAGGGGTGGCTGAGTCTAACAGAAATTCTAGAGTTTGGGGTATATAATGGACATACAGAAGATCAGCAGGAGGTTAATGGTACAGACTCAGATCAGGGTTTGGGGGCAGGAGTTTTAGGGATCAGAATGCAGCAAAGGACAGAGTTTGGGGATCAGTGATGTAGACATAAGAACAGTGAGGGGGTTGTTAAAAAAAAAGAGCATCAGAAGCCGGGCGCCAATGGTCACACCTGTAATCCTAGTTACTCAGGAGAGAAAGATCAGAAGGATCGCAGTTCAAAATCAGCCTGGGCAAATAGTTCTGCAAGACACTATCTCTAAAAACTCCCTCACAGAAAAGGGCTGGTGGAGTGACTCAAGGTGTATAGGCCCTGAATTCAAACCCCAGTACTACAAAGAAAGAAGGAAGGAAGGAAGGAGGGAGGGAGGGAGGAAGGCAAGGAGGAAGGGAGGGAGGGAGGGAGGGAGAGAAGGAAGGAAGGAAGGAAGAAGAAATAGCATCAGGGCTGGGGGCATGGCTTGAGTGGTAGAACTCCTGCCTGCCAAGCACAAGGCCCTGAGTTCAAACCCCAGTACCACCAAAATTAAATAAAGAAAGCGTCAGAGGTTGGGCATGGTGGTACGTGCCTGTAATCCTAGCACTCTGGAGGCCAAGGTAGGAGGGTTGAGAGTTTGAGGCCAGTGAGGACTGTATAGTAAGACCGTATCTCAGAAAAAGACAAGAAAGAAAAGGAAAAGAAGAAACAGTATTAGAATTCAGGGGTCACACTGGCATAATTCATATTTTGGGGTGTTTGGGGGCCTGTGTGCCATCAAAGCTCAACAGTGGGGAGGCGTAGAACTTCACCGTTTGGGAAGGCAGGTCTAAGGCAGGATTGAGAAGTGAGGATGTGGAGGGCCAGGGTCTTGTGGGTAAGGGTGGAAGAATGTGACAAGTCACAGGGGGCTGGCTTCAGGGAGAGGGCAGGGTTTCAGCTGAGATCTGGGGAGACAGAGGCTGGCGTGTCAGTTGGAAAGTTAGAGGATAATGGGACAGAGCTGGGGACCTGAGGGTTCAGACAGGTGGGGATCTGGGAGGTCCCCCAAGATGACGTCATTTCCCAGCACCCTGATTGTCCCCCACCCCCAGATCAGCACCTACTACTGGGGGCAGAGGAAGGCATTTTCATCTTGAACCGGAATGACCAGGAGGCCACCCTGGAAATGGTGAGGGAGTAGCATCTAGGGAGAGGTGGGATGGGGGACCTCGGGGTGCTAACAGGCCATCCCCACTCTCTGCAGCTCTTTCCCAGCCGGACTACCTGGGTGTACTCCATCAACAACGTCCTCATGTCTCTCTCAGGTGTGCCTGTGAGGTAGAGGGAAGACTTAAAGGGTCAAGGTCATGGAGTTGTGGGGTAGATGAACATAGTTGGAAAAAAACTTAGGGGCCAGAGAGCTGGGGGGTGGGTCAAGTGACAGAGTACCTGCATAGCAAGTTCAAGGTCTTCAGTTCAAACCCAGTACTGAAACAAACAAACAAACAAAAGGCTGGGTGCCAGTGGCTCAAGGATTGTAATCCTAGTTACTTGGGAGACTGAGATTGGGAGGAGGGAGGTTCGAGGCCAACCCAGGCAAGAAGTTCTTGAGACCCCATTTCCAAAATAACTAGGGCAAAGTAGACTGGAGATGTGGCTCAAGTGGGAGAGTGCTTAGTTTAAAGTGTGAAGCCCTAACTTCAACCCTTAGTCCCACCAAAAACAACAGCAACAAAAAGAATCCTTTTGACCAGGCACAGAGACCCCCATCTCAACCAATGGCTGAGTGTGGTAGCATGTACCTATCATCCCTTATGGGGAACCACAAATGGAAGGCTGGCCTGGGCATAAAGCAGGACCCTATCTCCAAAATAATCAAAGCAAAAAGGGCTGGCAGAGTGGCTTAAATGCTAGAGCACCTGCTTAGCAAGTGCAAGACCCTGAGTTCAACCCCCAGTACCACCAAAAGAAAAGGCATGGTGGTACACACCTGTAATCCCCCCCACTTGAATTCAAGGCTAGACTGGTCTATGTAGCCAGTGCAAGTTTGGCTTGAGCTACTTAAAGAATTCCTGTCTCAAAAAATAAATAAAAATTTGGAAGTGATATGCAAAATAGAATGAAACAAAAAATCTTAGGCTTCTCCTTCACTGAACCATAGGTTCAATTTTCAGCTACTTTTTTACTGTAGGACTTAGGCAGGGGACTTCTTGGACCTCAGTTTTTCCATCTGTAAAATAGAACTCACAATAGCCCTCACTTCTCCTCTGTGGTGAGGTCATTGCTACAATAAAATTAGTCTTTTTTTTTTTTTTCTTTTTTGCTGTACTGGGCTTGAACTTAGGGCCTCATGCTCACAAGACAGGTGCCCTACCACTTGAACCACTCTGCCAGCTGATAAACTAGTCTTTGAACAGCTTTGATATTCAGATGACAACCAGAATTTTTTCCTTTACTAAAATAGAGTGAGCAAATTAAAGATTTAAAAAAACTGGGCTGGAAGTATAGTTCAATCTTTAGGATACCTGCTTTGCAAGATGAAAGTCCTGAGTACTGCCAAAAAAAAAAATCTGTCATTTCTATATAAATATTTTGTGTAAAAGAATTTCTAGTTTCAAGGGACACCCCAAGCCAAATAGGATGCATGAGTCAGTTAATATCACATCTGGGATGATAAACTTTTTTTTTTCTGGTGTTGGGGATCAAACTCAGGGCCCTTCCACTGAGCTGAGTCCCCAACCATGACAGAGTGACAAACTTAAGAAAAAATTCCAGATTTCTCCCTTCTTGCCCTCTCTACCACTATGAAGCCCAGGCTGGCTTTGAATTTGGGATCCTCCTGCCTCAATCTACTGAATGCTGGTATTACAGGCATGCACCACCATGCCTGGCCTAGGTAGTTTTTCTTTTTTTTTTTTTTCAAGTTCAGGAAGCCTGTATAAATCATCTTCCTTAAAATGGACAAATTTACAACACATATCAAAGCATTTCCCCATAATTATAATTTTTTTTAGTATTGGGGTTGGAACTCAGGACTTTGTGCTTGCAAGGCAGGTGCTCTACTACTTGAGCCTTTCCGACAGCCCTTTTTTATGTTGGGTATTTTTGAGATAGGGTCTCTCAAACCGTTTGCCCAGCTTCAAACAGTGATCCACCTGATCTCTGCCTCCTGAGTATCTAGGATTACAGGTATGAGCCACCAGCCCCCAGTGAGAACATACTTCTTTGACTCACTACTGTTTACCAAGTACAGTGCCTGGCCTACACTGGGTATTTAAAATGTGTTGAGTGAGAAGTGAATGAATGGAACCTTCTTGAGATTTGCAGGTTTGGGAGTTTTCAAAGACAGGGTCAGCAAGGGGATGGGGTAAAAGAGTTCCCCCATCCTCGGTCCTGTAACAGCCTCCTGTTTCCCCCCATATACACGCACTGCAGGAAAGACCCCCCACCTGTACTCTCATAGCATCTTGGGCCTGCTGGAACGGAGAGAGACCAGAGCCGGGAACCCCATCGCTCACATTAGTCCCCACCGGCTACTGGCAAGGTACCAGCCCCCCAAGTAGCGCCATAGACTCCTAGGGCCTCCCCTCCCCGCTGCTGTCCCAGTGCCCACTCACTCCCATGTCTTCTTCAGGAAGAACATGGTCTCCACCAAGATCCAGGACACCAAAGGCTGCCGGGCGTGCTGTGTGGGTGAGGCAGGACCCTAGGGGTGTGCAGGGGAGGCTGGGCAGGCCGGACTGGGGCTTGGATCACATCTACCCCAAAAGATTGCAGAGTTAGGGTGTCCAAAGCCCAGGGAAAGGGGTGTGGCAGTCTACACCTTGAGAGAGGACTGCCGGGAGGAGGGAGATTGACCTTGACCCATCCCTGCCCTCCTGCACAGCGGAGGGTGCGAGCTCAGGGGGCCCATTTCTGTGCGGGGCATTGGAGACATCGGTGGTCCTGCTCCAGTGGTACCAGCCCATGAACAAGTTCCTGCTCGTCCGGGTAAGGTCCCCGGGGCGGGGGTGCTGGGGGCGCTGAGGGATGCCGCGACGCGGGCTTTGAACCCGCTGCGCTTGGCTGGATAGTTTAGGGAAGTCCTGCCCCCATCGAGGCCCCGCCCCACTCCGCTCCCCGCCCCGCCCTTTTGGGCTGAGCTGGAGGCGCGGCCTGCTCAGGACTTGCTCCTTAAGCTCCGCCCCTCACACCTAGTCCTAATTATTTCTAAGCCTTTTATGCCCCGCCCCCGGGTCCCTTTTGAGTCTCCAAGGAGTTTTTGCTGCCCTTGAGATCCTGTACCTTGGGGTCCCTGCCTTTCTGTCGCCAGAGTGACACGCCCCTAAATGAAGCCATACCCACCCTGAGGTCACATCCCTGTTTCTAAGGCGTACAGTAGGTACAGTAGAGGCCGCGCCCCCTGAGATTCCTATGACACCTCCCAACACGAAGGGCCCTGGAAACACTCGCTCAGTCCCCGGCCTGCCGCAAGCCCCGCCCTCGGCCGCGCCCCCTGAGCCCGCCCCTCCCATGCGGCCCGCAGCAGGTGCTGTTCCCGCTGCCCACGCCGCTACCCGTGTTCGCGCTGCTGACCGCGCCAGGCTCCGAGCTACCGGCCGTGTGCATCGGCGTGAGCCCCGGGAGGCCGGCGAGGTCCGTGCTCTTCCACACCGTGCGCTTCGGCGCGCTGTCCTGCTGGCTGGGCGATGCGAGCACCAGTGAGTGACGTCCCCCTAAGGGCGGGGCTGCAGGGAGGGGTGGGGCTGAGTGATGGGGGGGGACTTATCCTGAGGCCCTACTGGGAAAGGGGTGGAGCCTGGAGGAACGGAGAACTGATTGGTGAAATTGAGGGGGCGGGGTCTGCGCGGTGGGCGGGGCTTACCCTACTTTGCTTGGGGCAGGAGGGGGCCCTAGCCCGAGGCGCTGGACTTCTGAGGTTGGTGTGGGGAAAAGGGAACCAGGTGGAGTTGGTCCTTAATCTCCTGCCTCGCAAACAGAGCACGAGGGACCCGTGCAGGTGACCCAGGTGAAGGAAGACATGGTGATGGTGTTGATGGACGGTGAGCTTCCTCCTTCCACTGCCCTCACCCCTCCCGGGACCCGCGGGCCCCTTTAAGCCCCCTGCTCACAGTTCTTCCATCCCTCGCTCTTCCTCCTTCCAGGCTCTCTGAAGCTGGTGACCCCAGAGGGGACTCCGGTCCGAGGGCTTCGCACCCCTGAGATCCCCATGACGGAAGCAGTGGAGGCCGTGGGTGCGTGCAGGGATGGGAGGACCCACGCTTGGGGTTGAGACTCAGCCGATCCCCAGGGTAACAGGCACTGCTTTCTCTCCAGCCATGGTTGGGGGCCGGCTTCAGGCCTTCTGGAAGCATGGAGTGCAGGTGTGGGCTCCAGGCTCCGACCAGGTGAGCCCCTCCCTTCCAAAGTCAGACTAATCCCCTTGTCTGCCTCTCTAGCCCAAGTATTATCTTGGGCTGCTGTTGACTTTGTGCAATGGACTTTGCTTCTCTCTGATCCTTTATTCCCCAACTGCAAAATGGGGGCCACTACAGAGATATGTGGATGGTTAAGAGTGGGGACTAGACGGCCTGGGATGGAATCCAGCTGGGTGACCTTGGGCATAGGATGAAGAAGTGTGCCTCACTGTGCTCCTTTAGTAATGGAGGGAAAATGGGCTGTGTCAGACTCTGCTTGCACTGTAGTATTTTATTTATCTTTTCAATCACTTATCAAGTAGGTATTAAGATTTTGCAGGTTAGTAATCCAAGACACAGAGAGGTTAAGTAACTTGCTAGAGGTCACACAGCTGGTGTGTGATGGAGAAATTGATCGTCTGAATCTGAGGCTAGACGTTCAGAGGGAACTGTGTTTATGGGAAGAGGGAAAGGGGTTTTCTTGGCACTGGCCCCCGTGCTTCCTCCATAGCTGCTGCAGGAACTGAGAGACCCCACCCTCACCTTCCGTCTGCTTGGCTCCCCCAGGTAAGGTGGTGGTGAGGGGGGCAGAAGGATTTGGGAGGGGGCTCCTGATGTGGTGAGGCCATCCCAAGGTATCTGCAGCCACCTGTATCTTTGGCCTTCCTGCTTCCCTCTGTCTCCATAGTCTGTTCCCTGCATGACAGCCAAAAGGACATGCTTCTTTTACATTTTTAACTTTTACGATGTTAAAAATAACTTTTTAGTACCTGCCCTGGGGCTCAGACCCCAGGAGCTTGTCTCAGAGGGAGGGAGCACAGCCCACACATGATTTTTTTTATAGTGTATGACTTCTTACAGCTATTTCACTTATCCCTCTCTCTTACACACACACACACACACACACACACACATGCGTGTAATTTCTTTCTAGATATTTTGGAATAAGTTGCATATATGCGCATTTGCCTCTAACTACGTCAATGTATGTTTCCTGATTCAAAGCAAGGATGCACTTTTATTTATTTATTCGTTTGCTTTTTTTTTTTTTCTCTTTTCTTTGGTGCTGGGGATGGAACCAGGGCCTTGCTCATGCTAGGCAAAGCATGCTACCACTGAGCTACATCCTAGCCCTATTTATTTATTTTTGTATGTTTTTGAGACAGGGTCTTGCTATGTAGTCCCATCAGGTCTAGAACTCTTGATGCTCTTGCCTCCCAAGTGTTGGGATTATAGGTATGCGCTATCATACCTGGCTAAGGAGTGCCAACCTTTGTGTTCACGTGCCCACTCGAGTTCACTGGTTGTTCTTGATAACAACAAAAAAATAATTCTTTCTTCCTGGCCAAGGGTCCAATCCAGGATTGTGGATTACATTAAGGAATAGTGTTTCTTTAGTCTTTAGCCTGGAGCAGTTCTTCAGATGTCTTTTGTGTTTCATAACTTGACACTTTTGAAGAGTACAAGAAAATTATTTTTGCCAGGTGTGGTGGCGCACACCTGTCATCCCAGCACTTGGGAAGCTGGCTGTGAAGCCCAGGCTGGCTACATAGCCAGACCCATCTCAAGAAAAAGAAAAAAAAAAAAAAATAAGGATGGGAGGGAGGAAGGAAGCTCTTTTTATTTGGGTTTGAGGTTTCCAGTGTTTGGGCAGGATTGCTGTAGAAGTGATGTGGGATCTTTCTGAGTGTCTTGAGTCCAGTGGGTTTGCCCATTACTGGCGGTAAAAGCATTTGATCACTTGGTAAAGGGTGGAGATGGCCAGTGTTCCCCATTGTAGGCAGCTCTTTCCTTGTTAATGAGGGGCATTTGGGGGACATTGAGGCCATGTAAAGATGCTACTTCCCATTTCACCTCGAAGAACGCTTTTTTTTTTTTTTGGCGATACTGGGGTTTGAACTCAAGGCCTACATCTTGAATCACCCCACCAGCCCTATTTTTGTGAAGGGTTTTTTGAGATATGGTCTTGTGAAGTATTTGCCCAGGATGGCTTCAAACTGAGATGCTCCTGATCTCTGCTCCTGAGTAGCTAGGATTATAGGTGTGAGCAAGCTACTGGTGCCTGGCTCCTTTTGATTTTTTCCTTTTTCTTTTTTGCACTGCTGGGGATGGAAACCAGGGCCTCACCCATGCTAGGCAAACACTTACCACTGAGCCACACCTCCAGCCCCACTGATGAGTTTTTGGCCTGCATCTATTACTGGGATGGTTGCAGAATGAATTTTTTGTGGGGAGTGCTTGAGATCAAATCCATAGCCTCACACATGAGGTGACGTATACAATGGTGATCTTCTAATTCTGTCTTTGCTTTGCATGTATTAGTTGGCATTCTACTATTAAGAAAACCTGTTCCTTCTCCATCATTTATTTTTTTGTGGGACTGGGGTTTGAACTCAGGGCTTCGTGCTTGCAAAGCAGTTGCCCTACTGCTTGAGCTGCATCTCCAGTCCTTTTGCTCTGATTATTTTAGAGATGGGGGTCTCATGAACTATTTGCCAGTGCTGGCTTCAAACAGTTATACTCTTGATCTCTGCCTCCCAAGTAGCTAGGATTACAGGCTTGAGTCACTGTACCTGGCTCCATCATTTATTTCCTTATGTCAAGATCTCATTTCCATTTCATTCTACAGGTTTTAAGCTGTTACTATCATTATTTTGGGGACAAATAGTCTCAGATTTAGCTAATGGGACCCTTTTAAGGAGCCTCTATGTCCTTTCTAAAAATTTTTATTTCTTTTCTACATGGTACCGGGGATTGAACTCAAACTTGCTAGGCAGGTGCTCTACCACTTGAGCCACAGCTCTCCTGTTTTTCATAGGGTCTTGCTTTTGCCCTGAGTCAGCCTTGGACCTCAGTCCTCCTACTCTGCCTCCCAAGTAGCTGGAATCGCCAGCATGTACCACCAACCCAGGTTGTTTTTGAGATAAGGTCATACTAACTTTTGCCTGGCTGCCCTCAAACCAAGATCCTCCTATCTCTGCCTCCCACGCAGCTGGGGCCACAGTGCCTGGTTCCCTTTGTCCTTTTGACCTGATTTTTTTTTTTTTTTTGGCACTGGGGTTTGAACTCAGGGCCTCACACACTTGCTAGGCAGATGCTCTACCACTTGAGCCACTCTACTGACCCTTTTTTTTTGTGGTACTGGGACTTGAACTCAGGACCTATACCTTAGCCACTCCACAAGCCCTTTTTTTTTTGTGATGGGTATTTTTGAGATAGGGTCTTGTGCTCAGGCAAATAGTTCATGAGACCCTACTTGAAAAACCCTTCACAAAAACTCCCCCAAAAAACAGCTGGTTGAGTGGCTCAAGTGGTAGAGCACCTGCTTACCAAGTGTGAGGCCCTGAGTTCAAACTCCAGGGCCAGCAGAAAAAAAAAGATACATATATATACATATATTTGGTCTTCCTCTCCATTTCCACACACACGACTCTTAAAATCTTTGGAGTCTCCAAGGCTGACGGGTGTCTTTGTGTGTGTGGATGAGTTGACCCATGGTTGGTAGTTCCCCAGTGGCCTCAGGATGGAGGCTGGTTGTCAGGGAAACCAGTCACATTATTAGAGAGATGGGACCCCCTCCAGGGAGGGGGGAGGGACTGAAGTTAGGTTTAGATGACGGTGGGGCCCCTATAATGGGATTAGTGGCTACTAAGGAAAGGAAGAACCCAGCCACTAGCAGGCTTTCTGTGTATCCCCATGTGACACCCACTGCCATGTTGTAATACATATGGAAGACCCTCACTACAGCCCAGCGCCAAGCTTGTAACTCCCCAGGCTGCAGAGCCATGGGCCAAAAACCCCTTATTCATTCTCTCTCTCTCTCTCTTTTGGTGGTGCTGGGGCTTGAACTTGGGGCCTACATTTTGAGCCACTCCACCAGCTCTTTTTTTGTGGTGGGGTTTTTCAAGATAGGGTCTCGTGAACTATTTGCCCGGGATATCAGTGATCCTCCTGATCTCTCTGCCTCCTGGGTAGCCAGGATTACAGGTGATAGCCACTGCGCTTGACTTTTTGGTTCTTGAGACAGGATCTTGCCTTCCACCCCAGGCTGACCTCAAACTCTGAATCCTCCTGCCTCAGCCTCCCAGGTGCTGGGATTGCAGGCAGACGCCACCAAGCCTGACTTGCTCATTCATTGCATTGAGCTGGCATAGTTACTTTCTCTTCTATGCAAAATCAAGACAATTGTCTTTTGATCCAGAAAATACTTTAAAGGTTTTCCTTAAGATATTAAGTATGCATTCCTTAGGTGGAAGCTATAAAGGCCTTGGAGGCAGATTACAGATTTCCAAATCGATCAGCTTGTCGCCTGTGATCCATAGCCTAGAGACTTTCCTCTTTTCCTGTAATAAACCTAGCAAGGACCCAAAGCGGAAACGGGTTCGGCCCTGAGCACGCTGAACTGCTTGGGGAAGGAATGAGCGAATGACCTGACTTCTCCCCCCAGGCCGGTAGTGGTGGAGACGCGGCCTGCAGACGACCCGACCGCCCCCAGCAACCTCTACATCCAGGAATGAGTCCCTAGGAGGCGTGGGGACAGCCCCTGCACCCCCACCAGACACACTAGGCCCCGCCATGTCCTCTCTCCCAATAAACATGACTTCAGCCTCGGCTCGTCTTGTTTTTTTGGGGGAAGGGGAGGCATTTCTGGAGGCTCACTTTCCCCAAACTGCAACCGCCCAACGTGATGCCGGGGGACAGCACAATTTTATTTCTCCAGTACAAGGTCACCTTGGGGGTAGGGGTTTGGGGGTGAGGGGGCTTGCAGTGAGAATAAGGCACTTGAGGTGGGGGTGCAGGGCCAGCTGGAGGGGGGGTCTCAACTAAGCTGGTCCTCATATTGCTTGCGGAAACAGTCGCCAGCCGGGAAGAAGTCCCAACATCGCTCCTGGTACATCTTCCAGACATAAGACTCCTAGGGTTGGGGATGAGAAGTGGCCCTTGGTCACATCTTCAAATGGAACTGTTTTTTTATTTTTATTTTTTTTGGCTGGCTGAGGATTCGAACTCAGGGCCTCACCCTGCTAGGCAAGCGCTCTACGCCTTTAGCCACACTCCCAGCCCCAGTTTGAGTTTTCTACTGCCACCTGCGCATGGTCCTTCTCCAACACCGCCTTACCTGCCCCGTGTGCTCTGTCTCGTCCTTGTTTATCAAATACATCAGGAAAAACCTGGAGAAGGGGGGCCGTGGAGAGAGATCAGAACCACCCCAGCTTCTGGTTTTGCGGTGCGGATTCCAGGGCGTGAGGCCTGGGCTGTATTACTAGGCCACGCCCCCGGCCCCGACTCTCCCTTCTGATTGGCTGGCTGTAAACCCACCCACTGGGACAGCACACCCCTTCCCTAACCGGCCCAGCCCCAATCGCTCCACCCCTGGCCGTCAGCGGCCACGCCCACCATGCTGATTGGCCAGCGGAACCCTGCTCACATGTAATTGGCCAGGTTGTGTTCCTCCAGCGTGTGGGTTCGAACCCGTGCGGGGTCGTATCAAAGTAGTCGCTGCCTATCCCGCAGATGAAGCACTTGGTCTGTAGGTTGTGAAAAGCATCAGAGTCGAGGATCATTTGACTCTCCCCCAGACCCCCATCCCCTAACCCCTTCTGGATCTCCCCCAGACAGGACCCACCTCCATGTCCTCCTTCACTTGCTCTTGTTGGTCTCGGAGCTCACCGAACGCGTCGATAATCAGACCTGGGGTGGCAGAATGCGGGTCAATGCCCAACTCGGACCCGCAGGTTCCTACCTACCCCCCCTCAGGACCTTGTCTTCCACCTGCCAGCCCCCTAGTCTCACGGTGCTTCCCAAGGAGATTAAAACTGGGCATTTATTGATCCTTCCTATGAGACAGACTCTGCAAAAAGGTATGGACTGACCTAAAAAACTCCCACCGCCCTGAGGTTAGTACCCCATTTTGCAGATGGAGAAACTGAGGCCCAGAGAGGCTACTTCAGTGCCTAGGTAGGGAGAGGCAGGGGTGAGAGAGTAACCCAGGCCGCCTGGATTCGGGGCCTGCACAATTACCATGGAGGTAGCCTGCCTGGGCCCTCATCACCCCCTCTCCCACTCACGACCCTAACGGCACTGACCCTGGATGATGGCCAGCAGGATAATGATGACAAAGAAGAAGAAGGTGATGTCAAAGACCACCCGGTACAGCTCGTATTCATCGCCTGCAGGGTCCTCAATCTCGTCCCCGATGCCTCCGCCAGCCCGGACGCCCACGTACATGTGAAAGAGGTAGCACTAGGCAGGGAGACACACTGTCACTCATTCCATCATTCGGGTTTCACTAAGCCCTGGTAAGGCAGAGCTGCAGATGTGACAGTGACAGCCCTGGGCCCTGCCTCTGTGCTCACAGATATGACATCAGACAGCCACAGCCCCGAGACGGTCAGGGCTGGGGGAGGAAGTCAGCAGCCAAAGATCAAGACCAGGATGGAGCACGGAGAGAGGTGGCAGGAGAGCCCAGGAGAGGCACAGGATGATCGGGGAAAATGCAAGAAGCTTCCAGAGGCCAGTGGGGCATACGAGCCAGCCTCGGGGACAGTGAGGCTTCCTAGAAGAGGGGGTGTCTCTGAGCTGGAACTCAGCAGTGTTAGGTGACAGTGGTAGAGCACTTGCCTATCAGTGAGCAAGGACCTGGTTCTAGTCCCAGCACCGGAAAAAAAAAAAAAAAAAAACCCTCCTGTGAGGAACTGAAAGAGGTTTGGTAAGGCTCCAAATACGGAGCTGCTATGAGCAAGAATAGGGAACAAGAGCAAGATGAGAGAGAGAGAGAGAAAGAAAAAGCAGAGCATGGTTATGTGGGCACTGTTGCCCTGTCTGACGCTATGGTCAGGGAGGACTTCCTGCAGGAGGCAACATTTAAGTTGACAGGTGAAGGGTGTGCGTGTGTGGTCTGTAGTAGGGGGACAGAGAGAAGTCAGGTGTAGAAAGGCTAAGTCAGGAGGAAACACATGTTCTTGAAGGAACTGAAAGAGGACCAGAAAGTGAGAAAGCAAAAAAGCAAGAGGGATTGTGGTGAGACTCGGGCAGGTTAGACTCAGGTAGGACCAGCTCTTCCCTGGCTTTGTAGAACATGGTGTAGGTGTAGGGAAGCCACAGAGGGTTCTGAGTAGAGATGGGAGCGGGATATGGTCCATTTCCTCAGGAAAGACCACAGTCACCTTTCTGTGTCCCCAGGAAGTGAGGAACCTAGTTTCGTGAGTGACTGTGATGGGAACAAGGTCAGGTGTGACAGGGCCTCATATGTCAGGCCAAGGAACTGGACTTTGTCCTGAGAGCAGGAGCGGACACAGCCACATGACAGGTCACCTGAAATAAACTCCTGAAATGACTTTTAAAAAATGTTTTTGTTTGTTTGTTTGTGGTCCTGGGTTTGAACTCAGGGCCTACACCTTGAGTCACTCCACCAGCCCTGTTTTGTGATAGTTTTATCCAAGATAGGGTCTCACAAATTATCTGCCTGGACTGGCTTCGAACTGTGATCCTCCTGATCTCTGCCTCCTGAGTAGCTAGGATTACAGGTGTGAGCCACGGGTGCCCAGCTAATGACTCATTTATTTATTGCACACTGGGGATTGAACTCAGGGCCTCAAACTTCCAAGGCAAGCCCTTGGAACTATGTCCACAGCCCTGAAAATATTCTTCCATGTGTGGCCCCTGCCTCTAGGAAGTTAAAGTCAGTTTGAGTTATGATCACCATAGAAAAGCTGGAGACGTAGCTGGACGCCTGTGGCTCACGCCTGTAATCCTAGCTACTCAGGAGGCAGAGATCAGGAGGATCGTGGTTCCAAGTCAGCCCAGGCAAACAGACCCTATCTCGAAAAGCACATCACAAAAAAGGGCTGGTGGAGTGGCTCAAGGTGTAGGTCCTGAGTTCAATCACCAGTACTGAAAAAAACAAAAACAGCTGGGGGCATGGCTCAAATGCTTCAGCACCCGTGAGAGGCCCTGAGTTCAAACCCCAGTACCACCACAAAAAAAAGGGAAGAGAAAACAGAATCGAGGGCTGGACGCTGTGCTTTGAGTGAGGTGTCTAATTACAGGTAATGATGGGCTACGTCAATGTGATACTTAATACTTAATTCGTGATAGACAAAAATATTGTAAGTTTTTTTTTTTTTTTGAGACAGGGTCTGGCTATGTAGCTTAGGCTGACCTTGAAGTCTCTACCCTGCCTTTTCCTCAGTCTCCTGAGTGCTGGGATTATAGGTGTGCCACCACACCGGGCCATAATGCATAGGGGTATTGTTTGCTTTTGTTTTACCTTACGGGGATGGAACCTAGGGCCTCCTTCCATGCTAGTCAAGTACTTTGCCACTTGAGACACACCCCCTGTCCTTCAAAAAAGTTCTCTCTCCATCTATCTGTTTTGGCAGTACTGGGATTTGAACTCAGGGCCTTGCACTTGCTAGGCAAATGCCTTATTTTGTTTTTGAGACAGGGTCTTGCCAACTTTGTCCAGACTGGCCTAGACTCTCGATCCTCCTGCGTCCACCTGGAGTAGCTGGGATTACAGGCACGCATGCACCTCCACACCCATCTCATAATACAGTAGTTTTCATGGTTGTAAAGATCTGAAATAATAGCTGACATTTAGGGAGCCCTTCCCATGTGCCTCGCACTGTTCAAAGGACATCAGCTGTCTCCCACACCGAGCCCTGCCGGCTAGTCCATGAGGTAGGTGATGTCGTGTACCCGCTTTACAGATGTGAAAACTGAGGTCAGTCAGTCACCCCTGAGTGCTGGGGGAGGGGCTCACCGTCATCATGTCATCACACTTCATGTCAGGCTCATCCTCGTCCTCACTCTTGTTGTAGAACTTTCGGAAGAAGTTGAAGGCCACCACGGTGTACAGGTAGACCACCACAGCCAGAAGGCCCACGGTCATCACCAGCTGGCAGGAGGGCATGGACGGGTCAGCTCCCAGTCCCTCCCTCACAGGACCCCCTGCCCACAGGCACCCTGGCACAGCCCGCCTGCCTGCCCTTTCTCTTCTGTCCCTCCCACACTGGTCATGCTGGCCCCTGCCTGGTCCTCCACACACCTGCTTGCCATTGTGGGTGACGGATGAGAGGATGGTACGAAGTGTCTTGACCCCCATGGCGATGTCCAGGAGGTGGGCGGCGAAGAAGAAGTTATTGTAGTGTCCCAGGAGGGACATCACCATGTACCAGCCAAGGTACAGGAAAGACTGTGGCACACAGGGGGCTGGGGTCAGGGAGCTCAGGGACGGGGGACACACGCTGAGCACAGTGAGCCCTGTCATCTCTGGTTAGGAAGTATCTGGGAGCACTAAGGAGCCAGGGAGCACCCTGGGGGGCAGTGGGGAGCCATCTGCAGAAGGAAATCCACTGGGCTGGGTGTAGTGGTGGTGCTGCTGCCTGTAATCCCAGTTTCTTAGGAGGCAGAGGCCGGAGGATCACAAGTCCAAGGCCACCTCAGCTACATAGCAAGTTTGAGGCCAGCCTGGGCCTCAAAACAAAACAAAAGCCGGGCACCGGTGGCTCATGCCCGTAGTTCTAGCTACACAGAAAGCAAAGAGCAGAAGGATTGCGGTTCAAAGCCAGCCCGGGCAGATAGTTCCTGAGATCCTATCTTGAAAAAAATCCATC